GCCCACACAAGCGATTCAAACCTGAACGTGTCCCTTATCACCAGTAGCTGAGTATCACTTACCACCATCACCGCTTTTCAAAAAGTTGTCATGCTTAAGAATTGCTCATTTATGTGAATCATGTGTCAAAAAGCATCGGCCAGAGTTGTTAGTGATCTTTAAATGCATTTATAGCTGGGCAGCACACAGAACAATGCACAAGAACAGGACCAAAACCCACCAGTATCAGATATTTAAGATCAAAAACCACAGATACACAAACAGAGAGTAGCATTTCACTTCCCTTTCTACGCACAACTCAGAAGAGCTACGTGCATGGAAGACCAGACACACCACATCACATCCACAGGACCCATCCAGCCCAGGACGTTGCCTCACAGTACCGAAAAGCAGGTGCTGGGAAAGAGGAGAAGCAGAAGGAGAACAAGCACTCTCCACTGTCTTCTCCTCTTGTCGTTTCAGTTACCATTCCCTTACAGCTCAGCAAGTTTCCAAACCCAGGGGTTAAAACTTTGTACTTCTCACAAAATTTTGACTTCTTCCACCCAGTCACTTTTGAACCTACAGAAGTTTTCTGACATCCAGTAGATGGGGGGGGGAGGAACAAGGCAACAAAACACTCCACAGCTGACCCGAGCCTTGTGTAAAAACTCACTTTCTGTTACATGTTTTCAATCTTTCACCTCCCAGCATCATTCAACTGTTGTAGTTCTTGGCCTGAGAGACAGCAAGCAGCCCTTTGCTGTTCACCGCCTCCACTCCAATCACTAGTTCACCTTGCTGTCTCTGCCCCTCAGCTGCTCCTCTCCCAGGCTGCCAAACGTGAAAAGATTATTTATTATCGAGGAAGTTAATTTGTTTTAGAAGTTTGGCATTAAGGGAATTTGCCTGACTGAAAATGAAACGGGCCGGTTTACGGACGAGCTCTTTGGCACAAGCTGGAGGATGTTTGAGGGAGCAGATCCTCAGGTGGGACACGGCGGGCGAGTTAGCCTCAGGAGAAGTTCTCCCTCAGGAGAAGTTCTCGCTAGGGTGTCCCTCGCCAAGCCCCGCTCTGAGGTCGGTCCGTCAGCTCACCCTGCCGAGAGGGAGGAACTGCCCCTGTCCCCCCTGGGGGAAAAAATAAAACACACGTTCTTTTTCTGACAGATCCTTGCTGTTCTGCTGCTTTTTGTTTCCTCACAGGGAAAAAAAGAGCCTCTTCCCATATTAGAGAAGTTCGTAGGTGCGCTCGGCGAAGTAAACGCGGCCAAAGACTAACGCGTACGTTTTCAGCGATTTAGTAAAAGGCAAAAAAAAAAAAAAAAACAAAAAATCCCAGACCGACCCCACGAGAGACTTCAG